TCTAATAAAATACAGTTTGTTGAGACTTTTTTTCATAACAGGAAGATCGCACAGCTGCAATACACATAACTCTGTTGACTAGATATCCACCAATTTGTCTGGTTCGTGTACAGACAAATTCTGACAGCTGTTCAGCCACTTCTTGACACTGTATTGTAATACTAGATATTCCATAAAAGATTACAAAATATGCCAGCCAAATTCTTTATACCACAGAAGATTATGCACTTTTCTCCCAAACAGTATCCCAGTTCTGTAGCTCATTTCCATCTTGAAAAATGTGATTTTCAGTACCATCTGCAGACCTGCAGCTTGGGTGTGGTAATCTGCTTCTTCATTTTCAAACTGAAGAGATTACAGGTAAGGTCTTATATCTCTGCAGATTATATTGATCAACAAATCTTTTATCTGAGAGGATAGGATTGACTAGTGAGCACCTTCATCATAAGCAGCACTGAGTCATAAGGAATCAAAAAAATCTAAGTGATTTTCCAGTTACTTCATTCTTCTGAAAATTTCTGAAATAATTAAACAAGATAAGAAGTATATACTTTCTCTTACATCACCAGAGTTAGTGAAAAATCACTGGAAAGCAATTGTTGTGTCTTAGGAATGGCACTCCCCAATTCAGCACCTTCTCCATCCCCCAAACAAGACTTTCTGAATGCAGACACCACCTGCTTGTTCCCCACCCCATGCCCTCCCCCTTCCCACCTGGGGAATGGAGTTCAGAATTGGAGCCACAAAAAGGTGAAATTTACAGGCTGAGATGGAAACAATTTACAGGAAACAGCAATGAGATAAGATAGTGAACAGTGACACCAACAACATTAATAACAAAAGCTATAAGACAAAGAAACAATTTACACAGAAAAATCACAAAATACCAAACTTCCCCCCAAAATGCCTTCTCCCCAGTCCCTTACTTCTGCCCCTTGCAAGTGCAAGATAGTATATAATAGTATTATGTCTCTCTTGGCTACTACCAAAATATTAACCCTCTCCTGCCCAAAATTAGTTCACCAACACAGCTGTTTACTTTTCCAGACAGCATAAGGTTGAACTCAAAACTGGGTACAAGCCTAGGAATGGAATACTTGGGCAGCTGAAGGAAGTTACACTACAGCCCCTGATCACTGTGAATAATTATATTCAAAAATATTTTACTTTTGCTTTTTCCATAGTTATACTTTGGGCTCATTTGTTTGCAATGTTCTGTGTTTTAATTGTTTTGCCTCCATAGCCCATGATGAAATGTCAAATTAGATGATACTGTAAAGTGGCAGAATATTTAACAGCCATGAAGGCTTTCTTCATCTTCTTCTGCCTTCCATATGTAAATGTCTCCTCATCTCCTTCAAGACAATCTAGGCTATTTTAGGGGTTCTTTACCTCTAGACATGCTTTCAAATCTCATTATGCAAATCCAGTATGTGTCACATAAGCAAAAATAAAATATATTCAAGTTATTAAATGCAAATCTGAATTCTTTAAAATAGGACTTAGATATCCAGTAATAGAAATTAGAACTGTTAACTGAGAATCAATTTTCCAGCTGTCAGTTTAGCAAACAACAATGAAAGTTTTTTAATCAACTCAGTTGGCTACCTGATGTTTCTTTCAACAAGAGCCATTCTTCCCATGACAGGTAATTGGGAGGAGGCATGACAAACCCCATTTACATGAGTAGAATGGCTGCAACAAGAGACATCCTGCTAGCAACAGCCCCTGGAAGATCCCAGATCTGACACCCTGCAAAGGGGTCAAGCAGAAATAGAAGGTATCCGATGCTGAGTGAGAAGAGGAAATGGGGGAACTGTAGTCACAGTGAGCAGAAAAAACAGATGGTGGCAGTAGGCTGTAGGATTGTTGATTTTGGTTTGTAATTACAACTGGCAATCATTTCCAACCACTGCTGCTTTTTTTAATTATTCCACTTTGATTGCAATTACCAGCCAAAATCAACAATCCTAGTAATAGAGCTCAGAGTTTTCTGATGAAATGGTTAGACTCCCAAATGTTTTCACCCAGACCTTACAAACCTGCAATTTAACAGGAAAACTAATTAACAAGAAAAGTTTTTGGATCACAAGTTGTATGCCAATGTATTCGTAGCCTAGAACCATGAGAGTAAGAATATTACAGTGAGGACAGTTGAAACTTTCTTTTGGAAGTTGAATTACAATCAGGAAAGGCAGCACTCACCAGAGTGCAAATGATTTCATGCACTGTTTTGCTGTAGAGCATAGTTTAGGGCAAATGAGTGTCTCAAGATGACCCAAAGCTTGAGGTTTTCCAAAGCAGTGACATTTTTTGAAAATATCATGTTGACTTCTACCTCATTGGAAACTGTGCTGTGTACGCAATAAAACTCATCAAATTTCTTAAGCATCTGCAAGTAGGGCAGGGGTGTTTTGGAGTCTACCTACTAGGCTCAGCCAACAACACAGGCTCACACAGGATGCAAAAAATCCATTTTGAGCATATTAGAGGTGATTGTGAGCACATAAGTGGAAATCAAGTCAAATTAATTTATTCTTTCTGCTAAATAAAATCTTTCACCTCACAGTTGCTCTTAAGAAGGATCTCATCTTGAAAGGAAAATAAGAACAGACTCAGCAGAAATGTTATAGAAAACCCTACTGAAATTGCCTCAAGAGCACATCTAATCCTTCTCCTCACTGAACTATACCCAAGCCATGCCAGATAGACAAGTTCTTCATCTGGAGATCCCACATCCTTTCACAGATTGTGCTAAAGCTTTCCTGTTCTTGTTCTCATTATATTATTCCTAACTTTCAGTGGGAATCCTCATTACACCAGTTAAAGCCTGTTATTTCTTATTCTATCAGTAGACTGTGAAAGGAACACTTTTCCACCCTCCTTTAAGTTGTGCAAAACTGTTATGTTTCCTGCTAATCTTCTTCTTTCTTTACTTAACCATTCCAATTTCTTAAGCCTTTCTTCATAAATCTCATTGTCTGCTCCTACAATTGCTGTTTTCAGTAATCTCTCCAGTTGAGCCAGGTATTTGTTAAAAGTTAGTACTCAAAACTGGGCATAATATTCTAAATGAACCTTTACCAAAACTTAATAGACTAGAAGATGATTTCAAATACCCTACAGGTAATACTCTTATGTAACTAACCTATTAACTCCCAACAAAATCACTTTTTTCTTATCGTGTTCAGTAGGTTATTCACTGTGATGGGAGATTCAGCCTAACCTCTTATTCTCCAGTGAGGAGGATATTCAATTATCCAGCCTCTTATTCTCTCTCTCTGGGTGTAAGAAGATTATTCCTGTCCAAGCATAATATCTTGAAATTCTTCTTGTTGAACTGCTGCCTTAGACTGCATCTTTAATGTGTCAAACTCTTTCTCAAGACTAATCCTGTCCTACAGTATGCTCCTTAAATATTGATATCTAATGAAAGTTCACAAAAAATACTGAAAAGTGATAGTGAGCTTTTAAAAACTTTTTAAATGCAGTTTTCCAAGGAGAGTGCAACTAGTCTTATTATAATCTGTAGAGTGATTTCTTAGCTAGTTTATGAAATGTCATGAGAGATAAAATCAGAATTTGTCAGGAGAAAGCAGCGTGTCATAGCCTGTTTCTTTTCTATCTATAAGGGTAGTTATTATTTAGTTCCAGAAGAAAATTAGACCACTGACAACCTGATTTTGGAAAATCTATAATGGCTCTTAATTCATCTCCTTATCATCCTCCAGATCTTTAAAGATACTTTGAATATTTGTTCCAGTATTGCTGTAAAAACTAAAGCCTAGCAGACTAAAGCATTGATTCAAACAGTGGTGTAAGTGCAAGGTACATCGTGGTACTTTCCAGTGCAATTCTGGTCAGCTGGGGTGATTAGGTGCACAGCAGTCTGACTTGCAGCAGCCACTGGCATTTGGGGGTTGTAGTGGAGCTCGTGATTGTAAATGTTCACAAGTGGAACGAGAGCTGGGATCGTGTCACGTGCCAAGAAGAGCCACCATCGAAGACATCAGAAAAGCAGACAGCACTCCAATGTAGGTCACAGGATCATCTCCCTTCTTCTCTTCATGTGCACATTGGAGGTCAAATGTAGACTGATAGTGAGGTAATGATGCGTTTTGGTGGGTTACTGCACCCTGCACCTTGCGAGACATCCCACCCTGTCGTACTTACCTGCAGCTGCCCTTGCTGCACCTGCTGATGACTGCCAGCCTGCCTTTGCCCAAAGCCCCAGGCAGACCTACAGGTGGGACAAATGGCTCCTTTGCTCTCTATTTTCTTCTCAGTTCCTCATTCTGTAAATAATGAAATCTCTCTCCACCATGCCTCTCCCTTTCTCTGAGCAATGCAATTGGAGCTGTGTCAGGGCAGCTAGTCCTTTCTTTGCTCTGATTGAATAATAATGAAAGGATGGGAAACAAAGACTAGAAGCTTTTGAGATTAATCCCGCTTCTGTTCTCAGCTGTCAGACTTACTTATTTTTTCCTTTTTTCAGCTAAATCAGGTCATTATACTACAAATCTTTACTCTGAATGCAAGATTAAACTCAGGTATTTTATTTTCATCAGGGCATAATATTCAGCACAAAATAATTGGCTAGAGTTTCATCTGGATATTTGTATAGGGCCTCCTATCAAATTCCACTAAAACCTTACTGATTCTTTCCATTTTTTTGAATTCCTTAGGATCTTACTGTAGTAGACTCCTGGCAAATGAAATCTTTCACTCAATTATACCTATCTATATATCTGAGATGTCATGTTTTCATTAAGCCTCTTTAAACAATCAAAAAAATGAAAAGGTCTTCAGGGTCACCTTGCAATAAAAACAGCAATAGAAAAGAAAAAATATATAACCTAAGTGTTTGTCCTGGACATAGTATTTTTTTTTCTACAATGAGAAGGAAAAAAAGAGAAAGGAGAAAAAAAGAAGCGGTAAACAAGAAAAAGCTTTCAGACTGCATTTAATTGCTTTGAAGCCAACAATAAACTTACCACAGTTAAACTGAAAGGCCAACAAGGGATAAGGTCATCAAAACCAAGGCTCATTGAGCCAGTGTGTTTGGATAGATGCCATTTCCACTTTGTCAGTATGAAGAGTGCTGTATTGAACAGAGAGAACAGAGCTCATGCTGACATAAAATTAAAACCAAAAAACATCAGGTCTATCGTGGTGATCTCACAAGGAGCAGCTATGCATTAGTAAACTCTCTGGTGTGACTATTGAATCTACCTTGATGTTTGTTACTTTACTGATTACTTTATTGATAGTGTCTTTTTTAAAAAGACATTATCACACAGGGAATGTATTTTCTCAACTGAGAAAAACTGGCTTTATGCCACTTCTGCTCTACCCAAAATCGACCCAACAGTAGCTTTGGGATTTAATTTAAATAGAGATAGACAAAGCATGACAAAAGCATAGCACATAACAACCCTACATGGGCCTCTGATAATACACAAATTTTTGCTGCTGAAACAAATCAGAATATTTCTGGACTTAGGCTTTCTGCTCATGTTTTGCTTTTTTTTCTCTTAAAAAAAGTATTCTCAATTTAGAAGTAAAATACTACTATAAAATTCTGCTCTAAAACTAATAATAGACAACGGGACTGACTGATGTTTGGAGCCCTTGCAAAGTTATGCCTTTTATTAATGCCTAAAAATATTTTTGAAGCATTTCAGGTTATTTCTCTCACAGGTATCTGATTTTCATGATATAAAGGTCATGGGAAGAGTTCGTGTCAGAATAGGTCTTGCAAAGGCCATTATGTTGATTCCTTTGCTCTTATGAATGGACAGCCTTTCTGACACATCTTTAGTATATGCAGTGCAAAGCTAAGTTTAGTCCTTGTGCTCTATGATACACGCAGTCCATTGACTTTGGGCAGGAGAATCCTAATGAGAATCGCCAGAAATACTGCTTGGATCAGCAGTGGCACGAACAAGTTTGAAAGGTACAAGGCAAGCAGTGTCCTCTGAACGTGGAAATTTATAACTCACCTCTTCTTCAGGTTACTCAAGTCGTGTCTGATTAATATCCTTCCGGGGAGTTTTTGTTTCCTCCTTTGTTGGAGCTTAGTTTCTCTTGCTCATACCACTGCTGGGAGAAAAATATTCCACCAGGAGAAACATGCAGCTGGGAAATACAACAAGTATAATGTCCCAGTGAGAGCAGTGGCAAAGGTTTGCTCAAAGGATGATGCTGAGCAGGGGCTGGAGATTCAACCATGGTGCCTCAAACCCACTGCTCAGGCAGGACTGGGGAAATCCTTCCACATAGGCTACCAGCAGGCATGATCCTAAAAAGACAAAACAGATTTTACATCAGGAGAAATGAGGGTCTTTATCACAAGAGAGTGAGTGAACAACAGAGAGGAATAAGTGAGAAAAACAGGACGGGATCCTGAGAAACTGAGTCTGGTAGAAAGCGTCCCTGCCCCTGGCAGGGGGATTGGAACAAGATTATCTTTGAGGTCCCTTTCAAGGCAAATTATTCTATTTTTTATTACTCTGAGCTGGCTAAAAGCCAGCCAAGATGTCCTGGACCTGAACAAGCCCTCTTTGGTTAGAGCAAGAGCAGGTTGCCCTGTTTACACCCTGTAGACATGTTTAGGGACAGTTCTGACACATTTCAATGCAATTGTGTTTTCAAATACACCCTAGAGAGCTCTAGATTGCAGTGATATTAACAAACAGCCCACCAAGCTCTGAAATCCTATAGAAACCTGTGGAATGTGTGGACCTAACAAACATCCTTGCCTTTCAACATCCCAGGCAGGCAGGCAAACACGATGCCATTATCAAAAATGCCAAACCAAATTTTAACACTACTGAAAACTTCATAAAAGTCAGTGAAGAAATCTTTCTTCTGTTTACTATTAATGGTTGCAAGATAACCTTTATTTATAGTGCCTTGGGGACTTATTCAATAGGATGTAGTGACACTGATGAGAAGGATTATTTATTGTTTATACAGTTGTTTAAAGATGAAAGCTGCATAAATACTCTGGAAAGTATAATTCCATGAAAAAATCTTTTCATAATACATCAAAATACTTCCTGCATTAAAGTTATTCCGGACTCACTCTTTGCATCACAAGCCACATTTGCAATGCTCAGAAGGCCTGACTGTATCCTTTATCACACAGCATCTGATATGCAGTCAATGCAAGAAAATCAGTTTCTATCTGGTATTCATGTAGTGCCAATAATCTGCAAGGCATATCGACATCTTTTGAAAAACCAAGGAAACTGTGGGCTTGTTTGACAGAATTTAAAAAAGAAAGTTTCAAAACACACATTAATGGGCCATAGCACTTGCATTGAGAAGTGATGAAATGGTATGATAAGGATTACATGAGCAACAAAAACTTTCCTATTTTGTGTAAGCACATTAAAATATACCATGTTATTACTAGGTTGTGCATAAGCTCAGAAATGTCTTAAGCAATGAAAAACACATTTTTGTTCATAATTTCCAAAACAAATGTAAAAAGAAACTTTATACACCCAAGAGGCAAGTCAGACAATACCGAACACAGTGCAAAACCTCTGGTTATCACATTCTGTTCTTACTCTTTCATTCTTGTCACTAGTACCCCAAGCAAATACATTGATCACAGGATAGTTTCCACCACTTCTGTCCTCACTTTACACCAAGACCACCAACAACAATGATTTAATTGATCAGTTAGACATGTGAACTATGCATATACGACAGAACAATTCATGCCAGAAACCACTCACACTGGAAGTACCTGCTGTTTGGCCCATGAGCCCTATTGTCTCACGTTCAGTGAAAATTTGACTTATTTTATTCCTTTATATCTATGAATATGAATTTTTATATATTTGACGAGCATTATACCAAACACAATTGAAATCATTCTCCATCATGTTTCTTTTTCCTCTAAGCTCCAGGTCCCAGGGTCCAACTTTTTCCAGAGGTAATGAGCAGTCTAGTTTTCAATGAATCAATAACCTCTAATCAATAGAGCATCTCTAGGGGTTGATTTTAAACACCTAAAATTAATCTGTCTCAGGAGGCACCATTCATCTGTGTTCACTGCAGAGCTGACTGCTCAGACCAGACACTGACTTCTGGTGTCCAGCATCAGGGAAACTGAGTGCTGAACTAAGCTACAGCAGTACTTAGCCTATAACCTATTACTTTTTCAGAAACTAAAAGTTTGGGAAGATGAAATGCTGTATTTCTGAAGCCAGTAAATTAATCATAAAATTATAGAATGTTTAAGAGTTGCTATGGTTTTAAAGACCATCTAGTCCCAACCTCACTGCCCTGTGCACGGACATGTCCCACTTGACCAGGTTGCTCAAGGCTTTATCCAACCTGGCTTTGAACACCACCAGGGTTGGGGCATCTGCAACCTCCCTGGGTTCAGAGAGGTTTAGACCTGTCCCAGTGTCTGAACACACCTCACAGTGAAAAATTTTTATTTTGTTTTTAATGGAGGATTGGGAGAAAAAATGTCTTTATGTTGTGGGAGTCATGGGAACAGAACAAAGAGCCTTTTCGGCTTTTTCTGTGGAAAGCAATCCTCAGTGATATAACTCCTCAGAAATTTTTTGTATGCTGAAAAAGGTTTTCCGTTAAACTTTTCTGGGCAAATCCATCTGGGGTGTATTAAGACAAATCTAGTTATACTGATCTATTACTTCTGTCTGAGCACTTAGTTTTCTTCAATTTAAAAACAACATAAGGGAGTAGGAAAATCTTTAAGCAATGAGACATGACATACTATACCATGCTGTACTGTTGATTAATGTGTATCCCAGGTGGATGGGGAGTAAGATAAGTGCCTACACCATATGTGGTGAGTGCATTAATCAATATTAACGTGTATTAACAGGTACAGAGAGAGGGTACTGAAGAAGAGCTGGTTTTGGAGCACAATCCTGCAGTGATGGCAATGGGGGATTGAATCTTGTTGACATGAGGAGTCAGTCTGACCTCTGAGACTGTGATCTTAGACAAGCACGTGCATTTGATGGACTCCACACCACAGGATGTTGCAGAAGCTAAAAGCTTACATGGATCCAAGGAGAGGAAGGGCAAGTTCATGGATCAGAAATGTTTCAGGCTGTAAATTTAAAGAAATATCTCCAGGTCAGGAAGTTTCTGAGCTGCAAATGATTGGAAGCAGGGGGAAGCCTAAGTATCACATAGAATTCACCCTGGTTTTATCCTCTTTCCTAGATACCTCCTTTTGATGGCCATCAGGGACTGGGCAAAGAGCTGGAGAGCCATGTGGTACAATCCCATTCAGTGCTCATCTAGTCTGGTGGTTTATGCCCTAAATTTACAGCATACATTGAGTCCTCGTTAAATCTGTGCAAGTTGTTCAATGCTCAGATTGGAGCAGTGTGTGCAGCTGCATGCACACCTCCACTGACCCATTGAGACTCAGGTACCTGCCTCACTGCAAACACTGGCAGGAATTCAGCATGGTCTCCTACCACAGAGACCTGCTACCACAAAACATGTGCTGCCAGCATCTCCTGTGTCAGAGCTCTGGTGAGGCACCAAGCCTGGAGAGATACTGCCTGCCTGAAGGTAGAAAATCAGCCAAGAGACATAAATCAGTGCAGTACAGAATACCTCAGGAACGCCACAGCACCACTGCTCCACACACAGGAGAGGACTGGGATTTTCAGGAATGAGGCAGCAGCTCTTGCTCTGTTCTGAGTTCAGAAACATCCCCATTTTCCACCCTGCCAGACAGAGACCTTATAACACAACTGCCACGTTAGAGAAACCAAAGAAACAACAATAACATATTGCTTATTGGAGCATATTAACATGCCCCACAGCAGTCTCATTATGACTGTTAAACTTTTACCTAAGATACTGAATTAAATTCCTTTTTTATTTATGGTCTCCACTCTAGATTCTGCTACTTAACAGCCCTTCCTACTAGCACAGGAACCACAGTGGTTCAACAGTCCAACAGTAAAACAATGCTGTCAACTGCCTACTTTTAAATTAAATTAGGCTTCTCTAATGCTTCTAATTTAATGTGTTAATGCACACAGCAAAAGCAAAGATTTTGAGTTGGCTTTTGTGTGATTCACCTAGTCCTGTGTTTCAAAATCTTTTTTGAGATGCTGAAGTGGCATTTAAATTATAATTTCAACTGATCAGTTAACTAACATATTTGAATGCTGATCCTTTTCCATCACTATAATTTTGAATTTAAAGAACCTTCTATTTTAAAGGTGAAGAACTCTAAAAACCGCACATGGCAGTAAACATCTCAGCTATGTTTCATCCTTTGTCTCCATTCTAGGCAATATGAGGGAGCATCGGTAGCTTGCATCCAGCTATTAGGATCTGTCCCTGTGTTGATCAATAAAGACCTCACGACTTCACTCTACACTTCAGTTCCAAGCCTTAACTACTCAGTAGACAGCCTGTAATTTCAGCAAGGGACGAGAGCGCCTGCAGGTGTTGAATTAATGCACTATGAAAGCTGAACTCTGCTGTGTTGCAATGGAGTTAAAATCAGGCTTCTCTGCTCTTGCTGGCAATATTCAGCTCCCAGTATACTTCTGACTTTGGATACATAGGCTACCCAGTAATTTTGTCACATCTTGAGTATAGAGCAGAGGTAAAAATCCATTAGAGTCTTACAGCCATAGGTTGTATTTACCATTTGCTAACAGTCTATTGTGTTGTGAAAGGAGCCTGCTTCTCTAGTCCCACCACAGAAAGTTTCTTTTGTCTCACTAAAACTCTCAGAAAGGAACTCAAAACTCAAAAAGGTCACTGATTTCTTAGGAAAATAATGTAAATTGTGATGTTAAAAATATCCTCAGTAAAATCAAACTTTGGGAAAAATGTATTTTGAAAGAAAAATATTTTAATTATAATTTTTTTTAATTTTAAAATCAGACCTGAAACATTGTACTGAGTGTTTTCAATGCCACTGATCCACTGACTTTGGATGAGAAAATTAACATAGGCAGTGAAGAAAAGCCATCATCAATGCAGCTGTTTTTTTAGGCAGACACCTGCTCAGCTATGCCTCTGTGGGTCACATCTAGTTGCCAGTCCATATGTGTGACATTTCTGAGGCCAGATTGCAGCTTCATCTCCCAGTACCTCAGTAAAGCTGAGGAAATTTAGATGTCTCACTAAGGCCATGTTGACACCTGTCTCTGCTCCTAACCTGTACCACTGGGCCACCCCATGGGGAGAAGGAGGAAAACCTTCAGTACTGAGGTGGAGATGAAGACGTCTGCTCAATATTTTGAATACAGCTGCTCTGTTCCCCAGAGC